ATATTTGAAACTTATTAGATGAACGTATGATAATATTTATTGCTACAAGTATTAATACACGCCTCGAAGTATGATTTTCATCTTCAATTTTTATCGTTTAGAGTTCAAACAACTCACAGCAAGTCAATTATATTTGTTTCGAGTTTTTTTTTTTATAATTTATTGTGATTTAACCTAACTGAAAATTGTAGGCGAGCTGGTTGGCCTTGTCAAGGCCGGTTCACATTTTGTTTGATGTGATTGACCTAAAACACATATCATTTGTCCGCGTGATTCACATACAATTGCATATTGTTAAATTTGTTTAATGACATTCGAATTGTTGTATTTACCTCTACCCACTGCTCTGCTTGTTGAAATTTATTTTTCCCTAGATCCGAGTATACCACCCAATTGATGAACATTACTACACTTTAATGGCCCTGTTCGATATTTTCTCAATTCGCTCTATGCGACGTCGTACACGACGTGTTCCTTATTATTGTTGACTCTCGTCGTTGTGTGTTTAATAATTGGACTGCAAAACAAATGTTTAATTTTCTGTTGTTTGCTAAACGTCATTTCGTTGTGTGCAAATGTAATAAATGACGCGCTTGTAGTGGGTCATTTATTATGTTGCCAACACACGAGTCTGTTTGGCAACGTTTTCCCAGCAACGTTTGTTCATGCTATTTTTCGGCTTGTATGGCCGCCGGCGGAATAACACTATGCCGAAAGAAAAGTAACGTTTACAAAGAAAAACATTTAGCTTCAAAGTGACATTTTACCAGAACCCTATCGGTCGTCCCGTATCCGATTACGTCCACACCCGGCGCACTATGCATCGTTTGACCTACCCAACACCTTAGTTTTTTCGGTATAGTATTTACAGTTGCAGTGCTGCTTAGCGCTATAAGTTATACCTGATACACCGGTGTAATTTTCGTTTTCAATTCTATCTCTTGTGGTGCCTTGGCTATGATGTTTGTCTGATTGAAAAAGTATATAACGTTTGGCTTACATAATAACACGGGCTTCCTTTGCCGGAGATGTTGGGAAAATCCTATATTTTATACATAGTTATATGTGTAAGTTTTAGTTTTTTTCACAAAACTATCAACTTTTGAAACTTATATGAATTTTCAAAATACGAGTGGCCAATTTAAAACGGATCGCTGCTTATTTTGATATAATTTATAGTAAATCTATTTAAATTTTTATACTTTCCAAGTTGAACAGTTTGAGCAATCGTAGTGCGATTTTCATTATCAGCGATTAGTATGCTGTTGACTGTAAATTTATGGTGAAAATCGCTTTGCCGATGTTCTTTAGATCAATATGTCGTTCATTGGCATGGTGTTTTTTCACGTGCCAAACGTTTTATATATGGATACATATTATGTATACTGTGTTCTCTTCGCGGACGATGACTTGCGCTGGAAACATAAAACGGTTATTTTTATTTCTTTATACAAAAAAAAAAACCGTATGGTCGTGTTTTTATTGATCCCCACAAAGCATAGGATAAAACGACTGCACGTTTTGTCGTTTAGACCTTTAAAACTCAAAAAAATATTAATACTTCATTAAAAAAACAATACCCTAAATAATCGAAATTACGGGTGGTGTACATTTAATATGCAGAAATATGTGTGTTTTCTTTTTTTTAAACTTTTATTTTACAGAGAAAAAAAGTATAACTATTTACTATTAACAAAAAATAAAATAGTAATAATAACTTAAAAACAATTTAAAATGAAAATTAAATCTTGAAATAATTTGTCCAATTGATTATTATTTGTAAATAGTTCTTGTTATTGGTTTTCCGAAAATAATATGATACATGCATTATGTACATGGTTATGGTGAATTATGCGATTAATATTTATTTTACCTATGTACTTACTTTCCAATAATTAAAATGTAAAGATAATTGATATAATAAGTGATACTCGTAGTTATTGCATTTTCGTCACTACCGATGAGCAAATAATAATTTGTATTATGTGACGTGTATTCAATTAAAACGGTTTAATATGTTTGTACAGCCGACATAAAAACGACATTTGTGTTAAAATTTTGGAATGGTCACCACCAACAATGTTCTCTTATTTAGTACACGTTTTATGCATGTTAAAAATAATTTTAAAAACTTTTAAAACTCGAGATAATTTTATTTTTTACAAAAATATCTAAACATTATACATGATTTGTTGTAGGATACACAACTTTTAAGCGTTTGAGTTTCGACATTCTAAAAATGATATCACTTTATCCAACCGGTGTTTTGTATAATATTTGAACGTTAATATTATAACGTTTTCGATTGTTAAAAAACGATACAATACCTTAGATATTTTTTTCGATAAACGTCCTTGGCCTTGTTATCTACCTTTTCTTTTTTTTGATTCATATGATTTATAAGTTATCCGTCGGTGAGAAGACGACTTCGGGTTGTTGTGGCGGTGAGATTTTGTTTACAAGCAAAATCGGTGCATTCGCCATAGTTGCACTACTGTGTATTGTGTTTCTTGTATTATTAGCGACTATTTCACGATGAAAGAAAATTAATTCCGTTTATGAGTTTTTATCGCCGCCGTCGTTTCGATGTCGCTGAAAATTGTAAATCACATACATTATTATATATTGCTACATATTTCTACTTTTTTTTTATGTATACCTATATATACTTGTATAGGTTCTTTCCACGAGAGTTTATATTGTGTCTGGGTCGTCGTCCCCGTATTGGCCGAGGTGTAGTAATATAATATAACGGAAGCCAGAAAAATTTAATAAAAATTGGGTTACATCTATCAGTTACTCTGCTATACATTTTTCAATGTATTAGTATACCTTCTCCTTTTTTTTCGTTTATCACTTACTGCCGGTGTTGTTGTTATTGTTTTATTATTATCCAATTATTCAACTACATAGCTCGTCGTTATCGGCGTTACAGAAAAAACTACTATTTATTATTACCATTATTAATTATGTGTTTTTTAACCAGTATAATAGTAATTTTTTGTATTGACCATCGGCGTGCGTCCACGCTGGATTTAACATAATTATATTTTAGGCGATATCCTATAATTTTGTACCCTACAATGTGTAGACTTTCTAAAACCATTGAATTAACGCGAGCTGACCGTGATCCGTCATAAACGAACGTTGACGTGTGGGCTAGTAAGTATACTCCAAGAGAATATTGTTACACCTTAGTATTATTCAAAGAGTTGGGCGTAGGCGATTTTGTCACAAAAATGAAGTATAAAAGTATTAAGTTTCAATCAAATTTTAAACTAGTTACAAAATAACCACGAGTAATTTCATATTTTTTCTGGACCATTAATATTAAAAATCACAACTTTTAAAAACGGTTACACATTTGGTTCCTTGAAAAAACAATTTTAGACTTAGTCAAAGTAACTATTTGGGGTAGGATTTTCCCTTGGAGACATGTTAGTACTCTCTCATTTAAATAATTAAATGGGCATTGAGGTCAACGATAAATTATTTTCTTTTTCAAAGAATTTATACGCTGTCCTATGAGATTGTGTCTAATCCTGACCTGTTTAAGTTGTTTCCCAAACCCAAGTTTTTCGAAAAATACCAAACGTTCGCTGAGCTTCAAAAAAACACCCATTGAATTTGTGGTTTTTTACTAGCTCTGCCATGAGCCTGTGCATATCTCGCTGGTTATATTATTAGGAATTTCCCTGTAGTGATCAGCTGACGTTTTAGTACAGGGAACGCACCCTTATACGACCGATGTTCGTACAACCGATTGCTAGAATGGAATTACATTTTTTATCTTTGATATTTTCTGGTCTTGTTCCCTTCGCCGTTGGACGATATTGACTCATTTCTGAGCGGTGTAAGCAAAAAATAGACGCGGAATTATTATCCCACCAGACGACCCCGTGCTCTTCATAATAACATACCTCGTCCCCAGCACCCCAAATACCGATTCTACAGCCGGCATGTATAACATTGTTGGGCAATGCCCTAGGGCAGTTGCCTTAGCAACAACTCCCCTATTCAACAGGGTGACCGTCGTCGTCCCTCGTTTTTGTACGATTGACCGTGAAAATCACAAAAAAACACGTTATGAATCAGCTGTTGTACGATCCGCAATATCTACATAGCACTCCTGACACTTTAAAAGAATTGTTAACCGTTCCTTGTGATGCACATTAATATGATGTCAGAACAATCCAATAAAGTAGTAATACAATTGTGTAAATAAATTGTTGTTTTTTTGAAAACAATAATATGTATTATTATTATTATTATTTTCTTACGTTCGATTAAGTAATGAAATATACAAAATACAGACCATAAATGTATGATATTAATAATGACCTGAGACTTAAAAAGTTAATGAATGGCGATAACACGGCCTTATATATCGGGCTTATCTAGAATATAGAATACAAGTACCAATTACAAGTACAAATATTAATTTATTAGCTTATTATGGATTGAAAATAAAGTTATATTTCATGACATCGTTTATCACCAAGAGGTTAATTGTTGGATCATTTCTCAACAATAATCAATAATGACTGCGTGAAGTGATTAGATTAGTACGAATTTAATAGAACTAATTCATGTTAGGTAATTCTGAATTTGTATGATTTGAAGAAAAATTAGAGAGAACAGATTGACATGATTTTATTGGGCACATTGGAAGAAGGAAGGTATGAGAGACGAAAGTAGAACAAGACGATGTGTAGAGAAATAGTAAAGGATAAAAAAGTGTGCAGGGAAAACATTAGGGGGGGGGGGGCGATCCCATTGGTTATTTGTATAGAAAAACATAAAGAAGAATGATTCAACTTAAATTTGATCGGCGCTACTAAACATATTTGCTTGGCGGCTATTTATAAAAATGCTTTTTCAAGGGTTCTCTTTTTACGCTGTAGTAGGTTTCCGTGCAAATGTGGTTGTACGGTTTGTAACTAAAAACCAAATAAATTATCGTCAGCGGTGTAATTAACTATTTATATTTGTCTTTACAGTGATTGAAAAATGGACGGGACCGAGGAAGAAGGAAAGAAATCGCTCCGCCTGAACGTGGAGGAGACTACGTGCTGTGGTAGTGACAGTGGAGTGGATGTGACTCCGGCCGCGTCGTGCGACTCAAGCTTGGCGTCCGGCTGCTACGACCCGTGCAAGAGCCCAGTGGGCCCGTTCAGTCCTACCGGTGCGGGCCCGTCGTCGTTGCCATGTTACACCGCCGGTGGTTACAGTAGGCCGAGCACGCCCACGTGGCGGCGCCCGGCCAAGTTGCCCAACAGTATGTCTTCGTCGTTCCACTTCGAGTCGTCGAACGGCAACAGGAACAGTCCGCCTAGGACTGCGGACGGTTCGGCGTCCAGGAAACCCGATCTGAACGCTGTAGCCAAACAGGCAAAAATCTCGACTGTGAAAAAGCTGGTCAACACGTACGACATGGTTAAATCGCTGGACCGGTACGCCACGTTGCCCAGACGGAAGAGGAGGTCCAAGGAGAACCTGACGACCGCTGTGTCTCCGGCCGCGACGCCGCCCAAAGAGCCTAGTCTCAACCGGGCGGCCAGTCTCAGGAGAAAGCACATCGAGCAGGGTGCCGCCATGCAGGCGACTCATCACGGTTCTTCCACGCCGTCGCCGCTCAAGTCGTCCACCATGCCAAAAACCGCCCGGCCGCCGCCGCCGCCAACGACGCCAGTCAAGACGAAAATCTATCACGAAGTGTGTTCGCAGACTTGTCTGACGGGCGAAGACATAACCAGTGTGTTGGCCGGCAACGTACTGGCTCCCGTAGAAAACAGGGTTGAAACCAATGACGCCGAAGTACAGGTAATTTTGAAACGATTATTATATTTTAACACCAATTGTGATCAGTCATATAATAGAAAGGTGGAACTGGTGAATTTGCGGTAATAATAAATTATGGTTGGATGAGGTGAAAATAGGCAACAGGAGGTGTGTTACTACGGTGTGTCTGGAAGGTGCCACTCAGACTGAAAGGAAAATAGTTTAATAACGGAAATAAAGCCAACATGATGCGTGGAAGTTAGTGTTAGACAATGAATAAGAGAGATAAAAGCAAAATGGAAATGAGAATGTTGAGATAGACGTGTTGAGGAATGACTAGGCTAATCAGAAAGAGAAATGAGTATCCAAGTTGGAAGTTGTGTTACAACAGTAAAAAAAATGAGAGAAAACAGAGTGTAAAAGTTATGGCAAGTAAAAAAGAAGAGAGGGAAGTAAAATACTTTGTAAAATGATCAAAGATGTCACTGTAGAGGGATTTAGAGATAAAGGTAGACCGAAGAAGAAGTAGTTGGATATTTGGTTGACCTATCCCATTTGTTTCTATGGGAGAAGGCTGAGAAGAAATTATGTTTTTTTACATCTATAATTTACAGATAGGCAGTTTCTATTGTTAACGATAGCACCAAATAATATGCATCCAAGTTTTATTTTTTATTTCAAAATTTAGAAATAATTGCTTACACATTATATTTTTATTAATAAAAACATATAATGTGTATTGCAATAAATATATGTTGCATATGTGTTAATGTGTAGTAGTTTCAAATTTAAAACGTTCTAGCGTTAGTAATAAACTAAATTTAACCAGTCCATTGCTAGCTTTTTAAAAGCTTGCCATTGCCTCAATTGCCTTACCCTTCAATTTGATTTATCTAGTTTAGAATGTAAATTGAATAAACTATAGCAATTTGTATCGTTTAAACTTATATTATATTATAAAATAGTCTGAATAAAAAAAATATTATATATTATATTAGGTCCTGCTTGACGTTCTGACAACATGATTTCTCCGTCAACTGTGATAAACAGGATATTATATTTACGGCATAATTTATTACTCTTTTTAAACTTTTATCAATTAAATTATTTTAATTTACAGTTTTAAACTAGTGTGTATTTAATTCCAATGATCGATTTCAGGTGGATCTGGTAGCAAAAAGAATTAACGCACTTGAGACTGACCTAAAGGAAAAGACTGAACAATTAGACTGTAAAATAAAAGAATTTACCGAACAACAAGAGTGCCTTAAACAGTTGCAGGAACGACTGAATCAAGAGGATTCCGATTCGTGCAAACAAGTAGACGCTTATAGTCTAAGACTATGTAACATTTTCCAGATAAATGGTACTTTATTGATTATATCATAATAGAGTTGTATTTTAAGTTTTATAACACTATTTAATTGTTTTTGTATAAACAGATTGTATTGATCCGTCGCCATCAAACATATTAGACATATTAGAAAAATATGTCACCTCCACCTCGTGTACGATCGGTGATCAACAAAAAGAAATCAGTAATCTGAAAACACTTTGTACATCTCTGCACAGGGTATTGTTTTCTAAACATTTATTTAATGACATTTTTTACTAAGTTATTATTTAATGTTTAGGATTTAGAAAAGAGCTATGCCGCTCAAAAATCACTTTTGCAAGCTAACCAAGCCGCTGAAATGGAGTCTTATGAAATACAAGATTTCCTTCAAGCAGAGAAAGCAATGTTGTTGGACACCATCAAAGACTTAGAAAAAGATGTAAAACTATATTTATTAAATACAAAATTAAGAAATGACATGTATAATATGTATATATATATATATATTTTTTTTTTGTTATTATTGCAACAGGTTAAAGACTCTAAAGAACAATTATCTGCGAAAGAAAAAGAAGCCGCCAAGCTCAAAGAGCAGTGTACGCATTTGGTGCGAATCTCTGAACAACGTAGACAAGAGAATTTATCGCTACAAGCCAAGATGCACGTTTTAGAAAATAAAAGCCGCGAAGTTTTGCAGCAACAAGAATCTACTGTCTCCAGTGCTGTTGTCGGTTTGTCGGGACTTGGCAATCGTCTTGATTCCCTTCTGGACAAACTAATCAAATCTTATTCGATTTCAGAAATTGACATTGAAGTAGGTATTTGCGTTTTTCAAAAACTAATAGATCCTTGTGATAATAGAATACTTACGATTTGTTTTCCCTTTAGGACGAAGTATACTTTAACGAAGCTTACACAAACGGTGACAGCGGTAGTGAATCCGAACAACATCACAGCTCCTCAAATAAAACCGATTCCAAGAGCCTACTCTCAGCCATCGTGTCGGCTATTAAATCCGCACCCGTTGGCTGGCAAAAGGCCAAAATGGATAAAGCCCTTACATGTAATATTTTGGTCAAATGTACATGATCTCGGGGCAAAATGTATTTATAGTGCTTTTTTTATTCATTATTTTAGCTAGTACAAATTCACAAGAGTTGTTTCACTCGCCTGTTAAACGTTTACACACGTCTGCTTCTTTGAAAGAATTGCAAAAAGCCGACTGTCAATTTTTCAAACAAAACGGATCGACTGGGGACTTAATATCGCAAACAGATTCCTTAGACGGTAAAATACATTTGACTTTTTACTTATTTTTAATTGTCTATTATAAAATAATATAACATACTATTTAGTGAAGAAAAATAATTATCGTAAAAGAATATTAGCTTCGATGCGGAGCTAAGAAAGTAGTGTTTTTATTTTTGTGTCTGGACCCACAATATCTTTTAAGCTGCTGAACTGATTTCTTTGTGTAGCAACTCTGTAGATCAGAAATCATATCTGAAAGGTACTCTATTGAGCTAAAAATTAAAAAAAATTCATCCCTTCCCCTTCTAAATCTAGAAAAACACCCAAATAAAGTACATATTTTTTTCAACTTAAAATTACAATGCTCTATAACATCTTTAAAAATAGTCGAATTAGTTCCAAATTTGTATGGAATATTCTTTACAGTACTACCGATAAACATTGACAAACTAAAAAAATATCATAAAACCTTTCCCCTAGAAGGGATAGAAATTTTTCCTTTATTTCACTTTTTCAAGTAGTTTTAGGGATTTAGGTCTGAAAGTTGTAGCATATACAATTTTTTCAAAAATCTGTTATCATACTTTTTTTATTAAGAATAAACAATAAAATAATGGGAAAATTACACTTTGACCGAAGTCAACTTCCAGGTTATTTTGTGTGAGTAAATCAACAGTTAACGGGTAATGAAAATATTTTCATTATATTGTTATTGATCAACTCTACTAATCGTATCCGCCCTAATTCTATAAATAAATGTTTAAGCACATTTGCACAATAATTGTCATTAGGTACAATGTTTTTATCAATATTTGTATTTTTATCTGTGAACACTGGAGCTCCACTTACTCACATAAGTATAATATTTTCTTACTGTCCTGGTTTATACTGTTTACTTTGGACTGTACTGGTTTGAACCTATTATCCACAGATTCGCATCAAAGTGTTTATTTAAAAGTGATTTTAACACTTTCAGTTAAATAATTGGTAGTAAAAAAGGTAATAATTCCTTGTTGGCGTGTGACCTCCCCATCCATCCTCAATATGTCACTACCAACTGTATTGTTTTTTTTTTTTTTATTTTAAATCAATAACATTGTTTGTTCGTTTAGATTGTAGTGAATTACAATCAGCCGAAAGTGAGTCGTTAAATAATTTATCGGACGCCATAATAGCTAGACAACAACTTGAAATGAACGTCAATTGTGGAGTTGGTGGTTTGGAATTCCTAGAAGACTTTCGACCACCAGACGCTGATCTCTTGGACCAAGTGATCGACCTTGATAACACGGTTACAAGGCTGTTAAAAGTTCTGACAATAGCACAAGGAAATAATAAAGAGCAACTGCAACGCCAAGAAAGGTACACATATGATTATGGAAATTAATCGATTGAATGTCACTAATAATTTTACATTTATTTTTTTGTAGACCAGAAACAAAATACAATAACTGCATTGGAAATGGAAAGAGTAGGCAGTATTTGTCGCAACCTTCGCTAATACACGAAAATGACGAAGCCAACTGCAAACGTACACCGCTTGTGCCCGTACAGGAACTCAACACTAGCTCACATAAAACGCTGAATGGATTCATGTGATTATTATTATTATTGTTGCACAAGTTTTGTGTAGTTTTTTCCTTTTTACATAAAATATTATATTAATATTGTTTATGATTATTATTACAAAACAAAATACTAATTTTTGTTCCCACAATTTTTTATTTAAATTTATATTCGAAAAGTTGTTACCAAATTGTAAAAAATTACGAATTTTGAAATTGGCGAATTTAATGCAGTTTTTAGCCATAGTTTTATAATTGCTAAGTCAAGTAATACTAAATTATAAAACATTTTCCCTCCTCTCCAAAAACAGTAACATTTTTGGATTTTATAAATATTTACAAACACATTTTTTCGGCAACAACATAATATACAGAAATGAATCGGTCAGGAATGTAATTCACAGTGTAGTACAATTGTTGATCTTATGGAATGTGATTTATACATGTAATAATAATAATAATATATTAAAAAGCCTTAAATATTTTTGCAATCAACTGTTTAATACGAGTATAGTCTACTCGATATTGCTGCTGTAACAATATTTTCTTCGTTGACTTATATTTGTATTGTTCTTATTATTATAATTTCTTTTTTTTTTTTTTTGTATAGATGTTTTAAAAACAAACAAGAAGACATTTGATGTTAATTCTGGTAATAAACTATTTTCTTACTGATACCGAGTAGTAAATGTTTAATTTAATAATCTGTAAACATATGTTACAAAAATACAATTTTTTTTATGCCTGCTAAGTTGATTTTTATACAAGTTAATGAAAAGTAGTTATACTCATTGAAAATATAGTAAGTAGGAAACTCCTTTTTCCCATTTTAAATTCTTTAAAAAAAATAATTTTTTCGCGTCTACAGGTAGATTATTTTACGGACACACTTTTTGAAATAAAAGAAATGCTTGTCAATCATATTATCAACAATAAATACATTAATTAATGTTTGTTTATAAAAACTTACTGAAGTTGTGTTGTGTTAGTTTAGCATTAAGGAAAGTATATTAACATCATTAATAATTTATAACATAAATGACTAAAATTAAATACCCATAATAAAAATATAAAATACAACCTTTACTCTTGCTAGTTGTGCAATTCCAAGCAATATTTATTAAGTTCATCCAAGTTATACTATTATTTATCATTATATTTAGCATTGTGGCTCTATGCATGAACTGTGAGGTATAATATGATAGTATGAAACAATATTTTCGTATTAAAAAAAAAAATATATATATATATATATATAGTCAAACCAAGTAACATAAAAATTAACAATGGTTTTTTTAGCAACTTACCAACACCATAGAATATGGTACATAATATTATACAATACCTTTCCAGCTCTGCATTCGAAGCTAAAAATACTTGTTTAAAAATAAATTATTAATTGGTAATTTAACGTAATATTTAATTATTTGAACCAATTCCTAAAAACAAAAATTCTTTGCTAAAACTACACAGCTTATAAATCCGATTCTGATAATTATATTTAAAATACATTTTCCAAAAAAATGATATCAATCTCTCTAATATATTATAATGTATATTATGGGGAAAAAATAGATAGAAATCTTGTATTGCACAATTTTAAAGACTAAATTTTAAGAGGTATTAATTTTAAGCAAACTAATTTCATATTCCTATGCTCCGCATCAAATAGTATTATGTTCAAACAAAAATGTTAATTGAAATATTAAAACGAGATAGTAATGAAAACAAACAACTGATGATTAAAACCACACATACTTTTTTCAAAACTTCAAAAAACAATTATCCTTGGTGAAATTCGCTGGTAAGCACAGACACTTTATTGCTTAAATTTGTATATTATTCTATTTACATGTATGAATTGAATCGCCTTTTGTTAAAAGGGCACATGTTTCAACAGGCGAACTTTTGATAAATGATAAAAAAACTGCATAACTTTCAAAATGTGGTAACTTTGCATTTAATTTTTTTTATGTGCATGGTACTCGACATTTATACCAAATTTCGATACTGTAAAAATATTTAATTCATGTTTATACTAGTTGAAAGTTGCAAAAAAATTTTAACAACAAATGTAACACCTGCCCTTTTAACAAAAAGCTATTCAATTCCTATAAATGGATTAAAAAGACAATATGAACAAAGTATATTGTTTATTAATTTATTACTAGCCATAAGTACTGTGTTAATTATTTATTTTATAAAAGGAGATCAATCGTAAAACAAATTCATGTTATGTATATAGTATGTATGTACATTGTACATAGTAGTAAATAATTGTTGGACAAATTTTATTTCAAATTTGAATATTTTAACAATGAACCTCTCATTTATAATAATTTTGTATACAAAATATGAGTGAAAAATCATTCAATTGTATAAATATTTTATAAAAATAACATTTTCCCCAATGATTACATTTTTTTTTTTTTTTTGTGAATGTTATTTTGGAAAAAATATTATGACAAAAATAAAATATGCAAGTAATTCAATTTGTAAGTAAGTTGGTATAAACACAATATTTTTGGTTGTGTAAATACATTGTATTGTTTTTAATTATTGTACAATTCATCTAAAGTTCAAAATATATCAATCATTTTAACAAAAAAAGAAAATTATTTACATAATATTAGACAATAATAATACCAAAAACTTACATTCTAGTCGAGAAAATTAATAACTATATCACAAATCAATTTGAATAATATTATGTAGAGTATACCGGTTTAAAATTTGATTTATAAAATAAATAATTTAAACATTTATAATGTTAGTAAAAAAGTTCTGTTTTACAATTTACAATTTATTTAAATATGTTACAAACGTGGGATTATGAATTGGAAAACAAATTTTTTTATAAAATTATAAAAATGTAAAGAAATAATATTGATGATGATTTATACGTATCATGCAAATAACTTTATAACTTCATTAAAAAATGAACAATAATAAGTGGTTTGAAACAAAATAATTTAAATAAAATACTAGTAATACTAGTAAGTAACCTAATAATATATACAACGGTAAGTGGTAACAGTAAATGAAAAAATTAAGTAAGTTATTATTAAGGGGTTGTCAATTAATTTCTAGAATATAAGTGGAAATATGTCCTAAAATATTACCAATTATTTGTTAATAAATAATTACTGAGACAATAATATTATTTTTTTCGTTTTTTCATCATTTGCTTTTCTCTTCTTATATCTGCTAGATCCTCCAGTAAACCTGTAATAATAAAATAACATGTTGAATCTGTCAACGTTACTTAATAAACATTAATTAAACACAGAGGATCCAAATTATTGTCAGTAAGAATCTTAATTTTTAAAACATGGTAATGTTCAATTTCTTACCAGCTCTTGTGCTACGGTATTCTTCTTTTTGAAGTGTACGGAAATCGGATTCCATACATTCATCATCATCGTCATCCATTCCTCTATACCTATAATAAAGAAAATTGTCAATTATTTAAAAACTTTTAAACTAACAAGACAATTATTACAATATTAATAAATCCGGGCTCAACACATTTATAGCATAGTAAATATAATGTTCAAAAGGTAGTAATCAATAAACAGAAAATGGAAAAATGAAGACTAACACAAATCTAAAGGTAATGGTAAACATAATACATTTCACAAAAACCACAAAAGAAAAAAGCCTAATTAATATAACCTTTGATTACAAAAATTATAGATAGCCCACCGAGACAGATTTAAGTTCTGGACGTCGACACGGGATTGGCGCTAGTAGTATCAATTTCATTGAAAACGATACTAGTTACTACTAGTGCCCATCCCGTGTCAACGTCCAGAACTGAAATTTGTCTCGGTGGGCTATCTATAATATTTATAATCAATGATACAACTTAACAATTAGAAGGCTGAAAAATAAATTTTCTAAAATATTTTTTACTCATTGGCTTTTTTTAAAAATGTTATAAAAAATTAATGTTGGAACAATAAAACTATCAATGTTAAACACAAATAACATTAAATACTCATTATTTATAAATTTAACCGTAAAAATAAAATTACTGCCATTTAACTTACTTTGATTTGTCATATCTGAATATTTCAGAAATCACTTTCGAGTAGTCTGCCTCTTCTTCTGGGCCATCATCAATAAAGTCATCTAGTTCAGAGTCATACTCTTCTGAATCCGATTCAATGACTTGACGTTTATTGCGAATCGACATAGAATGATCAGGTCTTCGCCTGACGTCTTCGGGAGGGAACCGTCTCGATACCATATCTCTTGGTGGGAATTGTTTAGGCATCATATCTCTTGGTGGGAACTGTTTAGGCATCATATCTTTAGGGGGGAATTGCTTTGGCGCTATATCTTTAGGAGGGAACTGTTTTGGCTTCATAACATTAGGTGGTAATGTTTTCGACTTATTGACTACTGTAGGTACATATTTTTCGTGTGCAGTTGCAGATTTTGATTTGTAGCTCTTGTCTTGAGATGACATACCGGCTCTAGGAAGAGGTTTTTCATTTGATGGTAACTTGGTTTTGGATTGAGGATATTTACTGGCAGATGAACCATTTTGTGAATTGGGCACATATTTCTCGGTATTTTGTATGTTTTTAGGTTTTGGTGAATACCTATCGTCAGACACTGTCTTTGAGCTGGGCACATATTTTTCATTTTTATTAGATTGTGATGAATATCTATTGCCAGATAACGAACTTTTGGGTTTAGGTGAATATCTATTGCTAGAAGACGAATTCTTGGGTGTTATGGTATATTTATTACCAGAGGATATAGTTTTAGGTTTAGGTGAATATTTATCACGAGCCGATAAATTCTTGGGTTTAGGTGAATACTTATCATCAGCAGATGATAAACTCTTGGATTTAGGTGAATATTGATTTATTTTAGGTTTGGGTGAATATTTATCCTCAGCAGATAAACTCTTAGGCTTAGGTGAATACTTATCATCAGCAGATAAACTGCTATGCTTAGGTTTAGGTGAATATTGGCTTGATTTGGATTTGGGTAAATATTTATTCTCGGCAGATAAACTCTTAGGTTTAGGTGAATATTGGTCTATTTTGGGTTTTGATAAGTATTTATCATCTGCTCTGCATTTAGGCACATATTTATCATCAGAAGATTTTGAAGTTTGGTAGTATTTATCATCAGAATAAGAATTTGATTTACTCCTAGGTACATATTTTTCATTGTGTGATGATGTAACTTTTGGTTTTGGTGAATACCGTTCATCTATAGAATCATACTTCTTTTCCTTCTGTACACGTTTTTCTAATAAACTTTTAGAACTGTATTTGTCATGAGTTCCGTTGGATCTCATTTCAGAACTATTTATTTGCCGTGGAATATACTTGTTTTTGTTGATATCGAGTTCGTTGCTAGTTTTTAGATTTTTTGCCCAAACGGATGAACTTTTTTTTAATTTCTCTTCGGCTTGTACATCAACTTTAGTCGAAGAAGGTATTGGCTTTTTTATTTTCTCCATCTGTTTTGACTCTCTAGATTTATTATCGGATGATGATGTCACAACTCTGCCTTGCCGACGAGCTAATCTCATTTCTTCTAATTTTTTTTCTTCTAAATATTTTTCTCGCTCTTTTTTAGTCATCATTGGCGTCATATTGTCTTTAACTTTTTTTTCAACAACAACTGGTTCATGTTGTTTCTGCTCAGCAATTTTGAGTAGCTCTTGAAAATTTAAAGGGGGAGGTTGAGGAGGTCGTTTTTTATGTTTATCTGAACTCATATCAGATTTATTTTTTTTCTGTTGTGGTGGTTCTGTATCACTCAGTGGGTCATCACCATTTTCATGTTCTTTTGTTTTTCTTTTCCGTTTGTGCGGCAATAGTAAATCCTCTTCTTCTTTCAACAATGCTGCTTTTACACGATCCTATAAAGTAACATTTAAATTATAAGAGCATAGTTTATTTAATGTGAAGTCAGCAACAAAATAAAAGTACGGAGTACATACTTTTGTACCGGAGATGTCGCATGATTTATGATTAGCTACTCTGGAACTTCTTGAATCTGCAGGTGTATTAACATATTTGTTTACAATATTATTGTAAATATCCATAGCATCTTTTGAAACATAGCCATAGTCATCTTCGTCAGGTTGTTGATAGCCTATTTGTAAAAAAAAATGTTTATATAATATAAAGGTAACATAATAGTTTAATACATAACCAACAAATTTTCAAACCTATAAACATATTATAATTCATAGGGTTCATCAACATTTCAACCAGCTTGGTGACATTGTAGTTGGAATATTAATAAACAATAACATTATTTATTATTTTATCTGGTTACTTAAGAATTAGGAACAAAAACAATAAGACTGATAGTTAGTTATAGCCGACAATAAAAGCACAGAATAAATTAGTCTACTTTGTGTTAAAAGACCAGAATAAAATTACCATCAATAATTTAAATGATAATTAATACTTTCTTATGACATAAAGTATCTACATAAAAGATTGTACTATTTATTATAAATTACTATACTAACCTGCAATGGTAACTGAAGTATTAACATCATCTTTGGCATCGTCTATAACGGCTTTGTTTGCTGATTTAGTACGATTCAACATAGACTGCACACGTTTGAATGATTTCTTATCTTGACTGCGAAGTGATAATAATTCCTCTTTCTTTTTTCTCTCTTCCAATTTCTTTTTGTTATCCTCTTCCTCCTTTTTAACTAAAAACCGTTTTATATTATCCGATAACTTTTTTTCCTTAGCCTCTTTTTTCGGAGGATCCAACGATGCTTTAAAATAGTTGACCTATATACCAGAGAATATTTTATATTTATTATTGTTATAGCGAAACAAACACTTTACAGACATGTAAAATGTGATTGTATACTTGAAACAATTTATTATCAGTCCCTTATGGACTAGTTAAACATTATTGACAATATTAATGAATAATTAATGTACTTACATAACTGTCTTTGTTATTATTTTTTTGTGCTTGATAGAGTAACGTGTTGAAGTCCATGCCTGTGTAAAAGAAAGCTTATCCATTCACTTATATAATAGGACATTTGTTTTTTTTTCGCAAAACATGTTCACAGTGAAATTTTTATAAAATTCTGTACAAATAGGAGAACAATTTAAAATAAATATAAAATTATAATTAGATATGTTTCGGCCGTAGTTGTGTTCTGTTGGAAACAATAATAATGTGAGTAAATATTGATCGGTGATACGAACAAGTCACAAGAAGAATAAATTAATGATTATAAAGCAGGTATTGACTACAATTTACATTAAACTACTTACTGTTGCACTACGTCTTCGCCACATGTCATATCATACATGAAACAGCTGTTCAATATCATTAGATATCGATTGATAACAATTTTTAATAAATTATTCCAGTTTTTTTAGGTTATGTTATTATAAATTATTGCAGACCACAACTTTTGATAATAAATTATAAAATAAACATAATATTTTTTATTTTACTAACGTAATTAATATTAAGTATTAATTTGTTTTATCTTCATTAGAAACCTTACTTAAATAAATTTTTTAGTCTATTTTGTATTTCTGCAACAATGAAAACGCTGTGCTGCTGTTTTTCGGCTAATTTTCGAATGATCATGCTCAATGCAGGAAGAACTTACTCGACAGAACTCAAACGGCCAATGGAAACCGTAAGAAAGCTAAAACCTCATGCCCGCAGCGGAGTGTTAGGAGCCGTGGAAAAAGATGATAGTGGATTTCCGGCTTATGTCATACTTAAGGAAACCAGTCCTATATTAAGGTTTGTACTTACCTCCTAAACTAAACAAGTATGTTTAAATATTTTCAAAATTGTAATCTCTAGTTTAAAGTTGTTACATTGCGGTCATTGGTTTACATTGTTATGTTCCAATTTCCAATTCTTTTTGGTAGTCGTAAGTTATGAATAAATATTATTCATGCCAGTACAAAAACTAATGAATTATATTTGCCCTACAAAAGCAATACTTTTTGCCTATTTAAAACTCTTGTAGGGCCAAACGTATTACTTTTAGTGGCCAAGAGTAAAACGCAGTAGTTTTCATCATTAGAGACCTAAAAGTATAAGTATAATATAAATGCTACATAATGTGATATAACAAAACATACTACTTTCCATAGCAGACATTATTATGGCTTAGCGAATTATTTGTTTAAAATATATTTCTATTTATGAAACAATAAATACCTAAGCGAGCTGCTTACCTGTGTATTGCCTCTTGACATAGTACACTGTAATAATAAGTATAAAATATAACATTTTATCTAAAAAATAAAAGAAGTACATTAAGGAGGTTCTTGTTAGAGGTGTGTCCATATCAGTTAAAAGGAATTTAAAACAAATATAAATATATATATATTCGATTTTTATTTTTCTTGAAATACTCACTATTATAAGAATAACTTTTCCCAAAGTCACTTTTTTTCTATGTTCCTTTTATTTATTTTAGCCAAGCAATAATGGACACTAAGAACAAGAAAAAACGTCAAAAAAAAACTAGCATACTCTTAGAAGGAAAGCGTTTAATTCAAGATGCACTGAATGTTGGAGTTAAACCGAAGCAAATATTTTTCAGTCAAAAGAGAGTCTTAGAACATTTATACTTACCTGAAGAGTTACGTGACCTACCAGTATCGGATACAATATTTTACAAAACGCCATATAATATGATGCAATTATTTTCAAACACTACAACTACACAAGGGATAATGGGTAATGCATATTTTCTTTTAATAAAAACTAATCATAATAATATTTTAATTATTTATAAATAGGAATTTTTGAAATGCCAAAGTTTGAAATTGATACTCCAAAAGAATTGTTTCCGATAACAATTGTTTGTGACAACATCCGTGAACCTGGGAATTTAGGATCCATTTTAAGAACTGTCACCGCTGTTGGAGCTTCACAAATTATTTTAATAAAAGGTAAAATTAGTATTGATTTATCTAATTTATTTTAATTATAATATTTATTTATATTATGTACATTACATTCCGTAGGCTGTACAGACTTGTGGGGCGATAAAGTGTTAAGATCAGCGTGTGGAGCGCATTTTAGAATGAAAATATTATCAGAAGTCGAGTGGAGTTCATTAAACAATATTAAAGGTCATGTATGTTTGGCTGATAATAATTGTAATATAGTTCAAGGAGACAAAAATGATGCAGATTTAAATGTATTTAGAAAAGTTACATCTACACCATTACCTTTAATTTCTTATGACAACGTAGATTTTTGTAAATCTACACCATTAATATTAATAGTTGGCGGTGAAACAGAAGGGTTAAGTGATGAAGGCTATCAGTTTGCCGAAAGTCGTCAAGGCATTCGAACTTATATACCTCTTTTGAATAGTGTCGAGAGTCTAAACTCCGCTACAGCAATTGGTATTTTATGTTTTGAAGCAAGAAAACAAATGATGAATTTAAGAAATAATGAGAATCCTAATATTGTAATACAAAATTAATGTTAAGTCATATGTAGTCTATGAAATTTCATATTTTGTTTGTTAATTAACATTTTTATTATTTGTAAATACTTTTTTTTTTTTTTAAAAATGTTACCTACAATATATTTTTTTCTTATCAAAAAATCATCCTATTCTGTTTTCTATTAAGTCTATAGACTCTCTCAGTGTCTCCTATGTTGCTTCACAACTGTTAATTATGAAATCAGATGTTACAGGTATTTTATTAATAGTTTATTATATTTCATTATTAAATTTTCTTTACAAATTAGATTTGAGTTATTTTTTCTTAATTCTTACACTTAGTTTTTATTGCATATGTTCTGACAATGGTGTCTTTTTTTAAAAACTGTAAAACACAAAAACCAAAGTAATTATTTCATTTAATACTTGTGTAATTACAAGTATTTTTTAACGTGTTTATAATAAAATATTATAAAACTTTTTTTATTGTAATAAAATGCCTCAACTTCTAATATCATTGACAAGCAGCGACGGTCCCACAGATTTTGCGTGCTAAATGCTTAATTAATAGTGTTTAAAAATAATAATGTACAGCGTAGACATTATTATCTTTGTTCACACAGTGGTACCTATATATAACTACAATCCGGGGTTCTCACATAGGAGGCCAAACGATTATTATCGGTTTTACAATAATTTAGACCAAGTTGGTCCAATATATCGTTTTATAGAAAGTTGAAAGTTCCGACGTGTAATGAAACAAGTTTAGTGTCTGACTTTTGTTTTTTCGTTTATATCTTTAAAAGCTAATAAAAAAACAAATTCACCAAAAGATAAATTGTTTTTCATAATTTACGCTAAGCTATAAGTTTTGGTTTGATGTATTATGCTTGAATTGGGAAAAAAAAAAAATAATTATACATAAATCATTATATTGGTCTCTTCTGCGCTCGTAATTGTATTAATATGCACCCTTTTGTGTTGTGTGATAAATGGAAATAATGTGATATGTTCCACTTAAGCTTATCCGCCCTTCGCAACACCAAACCAATGACGATGACTCAAAATATGTCTCTCGGTGGAACTTGCAACAGTCCACTCTCCCCAAGGCAGCATCCCCTAATGTTATTACGAATATTACTCATGTTTTGTCACACGTACTCGCCGCACGCCACAATGAAAACATGCCTTTCGCCTTCATTTTAATTTTGGTTTTTGTATACGATTCATCCCTTCACACAATGAGACTTTCCTTTTATAATAACCATCCTCTTCAAAATTAGTTTTATAAATTCGGCACGCATTGTAATAATAGTGTATTGTTGGCGGTGGTATTGCAAGTAATGATTTTTGTTCAATCAACATTGACTCAAATTTATTATAACTGAAACGACTAGTCACGCAAATAATCCAAGTCCAAACCAATTCAGTACAGAATAACACAGTTATGAAAAAATATTTTATTAAAAAAATTAATGTATTTGTTTTATTTATACAAACAGTTTTTATTTGATTTAAACGTATACTTTTAGGAAGTTATAAAATATTAGTCCACCGAATTTGATTGTTATTACACAGTTGTAATTATTTTATCGTGAATATCCTAACTGTTAGGTTCCTAAATTATTACTTTATATTTTAATTATAAAAAGGAACAATAAATTTGGTTCCCAGTAAACTTATTAACATTTAAACTTTAATTTTCGATATTGTTTCGAATATTAGTTTGATTACTATTGGTTTTATTAGTTATACATACATATTTACCGTAAAAAATAGTAATAAAACAACACTATAATAAATTGCATTAGTGTAATTTATTTGTTTAGATGTATGAGGTAGTATATTGAGATAAAATAGATTAATACTAAACATCAAATGGTTGCTACAACGAATGGCGTCTATTGTATGTTAAAACTCTTTTATAATCAAAAAATAATAACGTATAGCTAGTTCGATTACTCAATATCGTCTTTTCGAATTACATGTTCATTAGTTATTATTTTTTATTGAACTACTAATTAATAATTTAGGTCATTACAGAGGTGTTTTTTTCATAAATTTACCACCAAAAATATTTGTTTCATCTTTATTAAACAAGTAAATACATACATAGTGTTTATTTATGTCGTCAGTGTATGTAACCATGTATTCGAAACCATAGTTTTAACTTTGAAGTCTAGGTATAATAACTTCTGCGGTACTCAAGTTGATTAACGGGATCTCATTGTTCGATTCGTATATTATTCATTGTAGATATACACCAATACGTTTCAGTGCTCATTGCATAAAACTTATTAAGATCGAACATCCTTTTTTGGCATAAAATAAAAGCCGATTTAATCCGATTCAAACCGTCGTCTGGTTATAATGATTTACCAACTTAAGTATTACATAAACTATAATACTATATCTATCCCACTTATGCACTTAAATCTTAAACTATTAGACAAATAATTAATAGTTCTTCACATACAATACATAGGTGCCATTAAACCTAATTGATTTGGTAACTAACATTATTTAATTAAAATATATTTGTAATAGTTTTGGTAAAGTAGCAGTGTCATTTCTGAGAACACTTTTTTTCAATGGGGCCTTTTGGAAAAGTATTTTGAGTTTTTTAGGTGCCAGACCGACTCTGTCCTCTGATAGTATAAAATATGTTTTACATTAATTTTAAAATGTACGTAACCAAATTATTGGACGTCTTTTCAGCATGTACCCAATCTAATTCGAGCTACGAATGGTATAAACATACAACTGAATAAATCAGTTGTAGCTTTGACAATTTTGTAAAAAGTATATTATGTTATGCGACCCCAAGACATATTTTGGTACTCATAAACGTGAATCGCTAAACCTGAATACCATTAACATTTTGTATAGGACAGGCGTGCACAATTGAAATTAAAACAAAACTTTCCGACAGGTATGCCGAAAATAATCAGTTGCTGCTACGAGGGTGGGTTGCCTGTCAACCCGTATCCGTTTCTTTTTTTTTTGTAATTTTTTTCATTAAAAATAATAGGGAGGCAAAATGATTTTCCCTGCGGTCATGAAAAAAAACGAGATTATAGTACTTTGTAGTCATTAAAATAAAAAACAAGCGGATGCAGGCCGACCGAAAGCATAATGAAAAACGTACCATAATAATACGTGGGCGTAAAATCGTTTCCGGATATTTATTTATACACACTGTAGTATCGATCAAAAGATTTAAAAAAAATAATTACAATAAAACATCACATTTTTAACAGTATTAAATATTTAAGAATATTTATGAGAAAATGCCTAGCAACTGGCAAAATAATTTGCGAGCAATCAAATGTTCTTCTCCGGATTCTCTGTTTGTTATTCAAGACATGGCAAACGGCAGTTCAGTGTTTCCAGCATATTTTACAAGAGTTGAGATTCGAGTGTCGAGCAGTAATAATGTGAGTACCAATACTCAGAACAATTGGCAATAATAATTTTTTTTTTTTTATTCGATTTTATTTAAACAGCAACAATAATTACTATGCATAATACGAAGTGATGACTGATGAAAACCAAAAAGATATAAGTGACAATTTTATCAAAACACAACGTTTTTTCACAAACAATATTTGATCATTGAATACTTATTTTAACTGCACTTGGTCTTAACTCTTACAGTTTTTCATACATTTTTGAAAAAAGTACAAACCCGTGTGAGATCACATTAATTATTTAAACCTTTCGTTTTAAAAAAAAAAAATGTTCATACAATAAATGAACATGTATTAACATGGATAAGTTTTTGGGCTGAAGGTCATTCCATAATTAGCGTCACGTCAACTCACGGAATATGCGACGCTATAGATGAGCAAAGGATTATGCACAAACATGTATGATATATCCATGATCCAATGAGGACATAATTCTGTTATTGTCATATTTTATTTTAAAAAAATGCTAACAACAAAGTTTTTAGATGAAACAATATTTAATTATACATTTATTTCGTAATAATATTCCAGGTTTTTAATGCTTAAAGACAGTGACATCTATATTCTTTTTGTAAACCGTATATATATATATATAACCGTTTTTGCATTACTGGATTCAATAGCGATAAAACTATTATGATAAACGAAAGTCGAATCAATACACGGTAAATCCGTGTAATGATTGGGTAAAACTGGAAATGTAAAAAAAAAAAACGAATTTAATTTGATTTAACTGAATACTATACTGTGTGCTGTGTTATTATTATTATTATTATATTATCATACACGGAGGGTTTGGTCGGAAATCAAATTGGTCCCGGGTCAGTTTGATTTCTGTTTAACCGAAACGGCATAAAAACTTATTGAATTACTCGAATAATCTTGCGTTTGTTCAACAAAACATATACGATGCCTAAGATTGGACCTCGAGGGGAAAGATTTTTTCCCCGCACAAGTTTATTCTATAAATGGCTATACAAGCTGGTTATAGTTGAACAGTGATTTTTGCCTCGGGCGACGATGTTCTATCGGAATAATATACTACTGTTATGGTTTTTTACGATGGTGCGCAGGCTTTAATTTAGACATATTGAACCTTAAAGCAAAATATCTTTCGGGGTCCCTTTCCATAAATTAAATAGAAATTAATCCCCGTTTTTCCCGTTCCCTATTATATTACTACTACCACTAGGAATCACTTGATTGACAAATAATATTGATTTTTTTTGAAATGGTAGCCGCCACAAAAATAATGCTTGATTTTTACCAACACGGCTGACCCATTAAAGTACTTATATTATTTCTAATTTCAAACCCAATATTTTTAAAAAGCACATAGCAACTCCAGACAGCGTATTAAAAAAAATAGGTTTTTTTATATTTATTTTCTATTTTGTCTAATTAGTGTAGCTTTTCCTTCCTATAACTCTAAAAATCGATCGATAATCCAACCCATGAACAGGACATGAGCCTCTTGTAATAATTATATGACATTTTTCACACAACTAGTAATATTATTATAGATATCATTCTAACGGTTAATTATTGTTTTTTTATGTATTGTATTTGTGTTTTATTTTATTATTTTTCACTTATAGTTTTTAGCGAACTGTACCTATTAACTTCGGATGTTCA